CAAGGTGCGGCGGGCGGGGGCGGCTTCGGGGTCTTCGGGAGCTGGGAAACGCCGTTCTCGGTGTTAGAGCCTGTTAGACCGTCCAGCGGGGCGCCTGGCGATGAAGGCCTGTGGTGGTGAATGTCACATCACTCGGCTTAAAATGCAATGTGGGTTTTTTTTCCACACAGTGCAAGCAGGCTGCTACAGGAGCAACGAATGTGGTGGTCTCAGTATACAGATATGTATTCATTAATACATGCATGACATTATATGTTAGTTTGCAATAATGAAAAGTCTTAAGTTCAAGTGTTGGTCAGTGCCTCCATTGGGGAGGTGGTTGGTAATCCAATATCCATTGGCAGGTAACTTTTATTTCGTGACCGTGCTTTTGTAACACGTTTTCCATCCAACGCACTGAAGGGCAGGCCCTCTGCGGCGGGCATACCCGCCAGGTCGAGTCAGCTCAGGGGCCTGTCGGGATAGACAGCACCTCATACCTGCCTCCAGCGCCTCTCCGCTGTGAAACGATGGCGTTTGATTCTGGGGGGCTCACATCAGCTCCTTCAGCTTTTTAATCCCTGATTATTGACAGCTTTAAATTCTCTGGTTTATATTTATTTTTCAGCTGAAATGTGGGAACTGTGGTGAAGTTTCTGAAAAATGGCAGTATCTGCGATTGATGGTATGTTTCCCTGTTGTAACCTGCATCAGAACAAAAATGAGAAAACAAACCTGCCTCTTACATACAAGCGATATTAGTGTCAGGGATGTGATGACTTGCACTTTAGATGAGGTAGTATTTTAATAGCTGTATGCGTTCAGGAAATGCTGTCATATTCCGTATTAAAAAAAATATTTGGAGACTGTTAATTGAAGTATGCCATTGGAATGGTGACTGTTGGTGACAAAGTATTTACGGCTGCTTTGAAAAGCTGCCTTTCTGTAAAAATATCATTTGAAAACAAATTTTGAAGTGATACCAGAATAAGGTTGTGCCTGCAGCATATTTCTCTGATGGAATCTTTTTGGAGAAGTTTAGGTAATTCAAGGTGAGTTAAGCATGCTAAATTAGCATTTGGAAACTGAAAAAAGCAGGATAAAATTTGTCAGGGATAAGAGAAGGTTCTGTTCTCAGGAATAATCATCCCTCTTTGTTGCATACTACTGAATGGCAAGAACGTATTTTGAGGAATTAATGGAACATGCATATATGGACAAGACATAACTATCCATTATTAACTATTTTAAGTTTAGAACAGAATTATTCTTTGATAATCACAGCTTTCTGAATTATAGATCTCTCTAGTTTAAAAAAAGCCTTCTCGTTGCAATATTTTTAAAAAGTTAAAGACCATTGTTGTAAAACTACTTTACCTTTGCAGAGGTTTCCAGTGGCTCAGCTAGAGTGCAGTTAAAAATGATGTCTCTATTGTCATGGTTTTTAGGACAGTGCTCCCCTGAAAGGAGGCAGAGGAAGTGCCACTATGGTGCAGAAATGCAAGCTGTGCTCCAGGGAGAACTCCATTGGTACGTGCTTAGAAATTTAAGAGACATCATCCATTTTACACTTTTTCTCCTAAGTTTATGTTTTAGTCCCCATTTTTGCTTGACACTGTTTGTAAAGAGCATTCACCAGGAATTTTTTTCCTTGTACACTGGTGCTTGAATTCACAACAGGTACATACTTGTCATCATGCTCATGAAGGAGACAGCAAGACCTCTGGGTGAGTTCAGGTTTCTGCGTGAACAAAACTCAGACCCATGATGTCACTTTACAAAAGCATGCAAGTTTTTTTGCATTGTTAGGGTAACAAAATGGTGTAATGTAAACTTCTCAGGAGAAGTGAGAAAAATTGAATTCTACCTTTTGAGGGCCAACTGCAGGAACTGCTTGGTTACTTTGTTTCTTTTACTTTGTATAAGGAAATTTCTTCAAAAGAAGAAGCTGGTGCTTGGTTTGTGATGAATAAAACTGAAGACATAATGCCACTCACTTTAATACTTCTGATTTTTTTTTTTTTAGATATTTTAAGTCAGACAATCAAACCTTACAATGTAAGTTTGTTTTCTCTTTTATATAACAAGTGAAAGATAAATAAGCATTAATAATATTTTGAGGTTTTGCTTTATCATCACATTCCACTTTCAAGAACACAAAAAGCTGGTATTCTCCTCTGACAGCAAATTGTCTCTTGTAGGCTCCTGCACACAGTGTCAAGCGTAGAATAATCCGTGATACATTTCATAAGCAAAACACAAAACTGTATCACTCAAATTAGAGGTGATTCTGTAATGCCCATATTAGTTTTCTTTTGAAGGCTTCTTTGTGGCAGATTACGAAATTCCAATTGGAATACCTATTAAATGAGCCCTAGGATTTTGCTGTCACTTGGGACATCAGAGTTGATAGTACTGCCTTTAAAGCAATTCATTCCTAGACTAATGCTTGTCACTGTTTCCCTATTAGAAGAAAACTAATGGTACTCTGACTCAATTATAGGCTGAAGACAGCGAGAAATTCAAAACGATAGTGGAGTTTGCCGAGGTCTGGAACCCGTTGACTTTCAGCCACAGGTGAGTTCTTATTTGTTTCTCTGTTTTTAAGAGCACTTCTTAGAGACTCTAGAGTGAGAAAATACACACTATTTGAAATGGTACTGCTCTTCCTGGAATGTCCTAGACCTCCCCGGTTTTCCATCCTCTCCACAGTTCGTTCTTTTACTTCTCCACAGTTCGTTCTTTTACTTCTCCACAGTTCGTTCTTTTACTTCATTTGACTCAAAAAAAACCACCAACAAAAAAACCCCAAGCAGCTAACACTAACGACTCTGGTATTCTTTGTGCCAGTAAAATCTAAATTAAACACTCCTTGGAGTCATATTCAAACTGCCTTACAGGTGACTCAGTACTGCTCACTGGAATTCATTTGAAAGGTCTTCATTGCTCAGGTTGTTGCAAAAGAGAGTCTTTCCTAAAGAGGAATTGTGAAAGTGCATAATTAGACAGCCACATTCAGGAGAGCGCCACTTTGCTTCTTGGGATGTTACAGAGAGTAGATGAAGTTCAGGTTATGAACAGTCTTCAGTATATGGCCTCTAAAAAAAAATGAATTTTCTTTGAGATTTGACATCACCAAAGCCATAGGAAATGAATATTGGCATTTTTCCATTTGAAACTTGATCAGACAAAGACTGATCAAGACAAAGATCAACAGCAGTTAAAGACTGTTGCAAAGCACACCTCAAGGTTCGGAGTTAAAGGATTTCTTCAGGTCCAAGCCAGTCTTCAGTGATTCATTTGCTTGTGCATGGTCGTGCTGTATGCAAGCTAACGCCCTACTATATTTAACCTATTATTCCAGTCGGATTAGGTGTAAATAGACTGACAAATATAAACCTGTCTTATCCTTCCCTCAGACTGTGACACTACGCTAAGAAACAGACCAAAAAAGCTGATCCTACAAAGAATTTGGTATAAATAAAATCACCGCTGCAGTGTGCTGCAGGAGGTTCTCTTTATTTATTTAAAATGAAGCCTATCTTTTCAAGGAACAGTATGGTTATTAGTTCATTCCTGTTTGAAAGCTTTGCAGCCAGACCTAGGAACTTGCACTTCAAGAAAAATCTATGAGACTATAAAATGTAGATGTTTATAGCTCTGCATCCTAGCTGTCAATTTTATTTTTATCTGCAGAACAAAGACTTCACAGTTGTAATAAAGCTTTTAATTTAATATTCTCAAAGTTTGGTCTGTGCACTCTATTGGAGAGTACACTTGAATCCCTGAGCAGGTATTTCAGTGAATTTTCTGATGCCTAAATGAGTAAATATATAGACTTCTGCAGTTCCAAACAATTCTATAAACTGCTTTATATTTGACATGATCTAAGCCAGCCTGGCTTCTCCACAACCTTAGATCTGGCTTTTGATTAGCACCAAACAGGATTGGCCATAGCATTACTGTATTTTCTTTGTATTTTTGATAGGCATAACGCAACCATACCTGAAGTCAATTTAGAGTGGCTTAATGCTTGCATGTCTTACTTAAGTTATAGTAGTTTTCTCAAAAAAATTATTGGAGTCTGAAAGCGGAGAAAGTGTCCTTTGATTCTCTGATATAAACCCTCTTTTTCTATCTAGTAGTAGCTCTAATAATGGGCAAGCACAATTTTTTCCCCTAGTTACTTATCTTTCTTGTTTAATGTGCTTAAGTAGATACATCTACTGCAAATCTGATATATAATTTTTGGCTTTACTTGAGGATAGTTCAGCTCCTTTCCTGTCTTTGTCCCTCAAGTGAATGCTTCAACTAAAAAATGGAGGTTTCTTTATAAAATTTCTCTTAAACCTTCTTAAGCTTCTTTGCTTTGTGGCACAACTGATAGTTTCATTGGTAACAAAAGTGTGACAATTCATTGTGTTGTAAAGTCAATAGGCATTTTTGCTTCTTTGGGGCGTGTGTGTTTATGCTGTAGCTGTTGGTCCTTTGCCAGTCAGCAGAGAGCAGACAAGTCACTGCATGTCCCAGCTCCCTTCTGCAGAGATTAAACGAGTTTCTGCTCTGACGCCAAAGCTGTAAGAATGCAAGTCCCACTGAGTGTCTGGTACAGAAGCTTGTAATTCCAGTCACATGGCTTCTTTTTCCTTGGAGGGCTGGTGAATATCTCCAGGTGGCAAAAGCAGGGCTTCTTTTATTTTTCGATTGTTTGTTCTATACTGCAGCTCAGCATTTTTGTCCCATGATGCTGATCTTCCTCTTCACCCCTAGCAGTTCCCTTGAGATTGGCTTCTGACAATTATATAAAGGCCATATTCACACTGAGCCTTGCAGATAGCTCTCCTGTTGTTACATCTGCCACACTCTGTGGTTTATTTTACTCGCAAGTGCTTAACCTTCCATTCAAATCCCGAAATATTTTAAAATCATGTGGCTTAGTTCACACATTCTTACACAGTTAAATGTCTGACTGGCACTAGTGGGGATTTCTTTATCAAAAATGCAAGTGTAGCTCCCTTGCAGAAAACCAGGAATAAGGTACCTTTGCTTTTTAGCCACTTAATAAAGTTCTGTAGTTAGAAATGGCAATGTAAGAAACCTTCCTGTTTGCTACAGTACAGAGGTGGCTGAGATTTTTAATTTTACTTTTAAAACTAATAAAACTTAATTTACAGCTTGATAACTGTGAACCCTAAAATGAGAGAGCTGTTCCTATAGAAGGTAAAACAGAACACCTTGTTCTTGTGCTATACCCCGCTAATACGCTATTTCCTTCCTAGTGCTATCCTTGCCTTCAACTCTTTAAAAACAGCAGCAGTAACAACAGTGAAGAACTCTCCCTTTTGAAATGATTGCTTGGGTATACTAATCTGTTCATTCAGCCAGCTGATCCTCCTTTTCATGTAAAGCTTGCTAGTTGCTTCTGTACCCAAATCCAATACAGGCTGCTCCTTCTCTAGAGTGGATTCTGGTGATATTTAAGCCAAAACTATTAACCCTTTCCCACATTTTCTTTCTATTGTTTTCTTGCAGTGTAAGTTTATTATGAAGCTATTTTATACATAATGCCTGTATGGATTCTGAACACAAATTAAAGCTATTAGTAGTTGGATGCTGCTATATAAACTTATAAACTCAGGTTTAACGTTATCTAGAATACTTGGAAATACCTTTTTGGCAGGAAAAACAGAGGAGCAGTGTTCCCTCATTTTACTCTGTGGTTGCTTAGATTGAATTTTCCCAATTCACAAACAGGGTCACAATCTTATACTGACCCTTAACCAGGAAAGAGCTTGACCATTCTTTCTACCTAATTTAAAAGAAATACAATGGAAGTTTGTGCTGAGTTACTTTCTTTAAACATGTTTCAATGATGATATTTATTATTTTCTTGGTACAACTTATTCTTAAAAACTTACTGCAAATGTGTTTGCAGGCAGGGTTTGCCGCTGAAGGTGCAGAATCTGGCACACCTTTCAATGACATAAACTTGTTAGAAAAGGTATGTTGTCTTAGTTTCATTAGTAAATCTAATTATCTAGCTTTC